CTGGGTGGGAGAGGGGAGAGGGAAGGTGAGAGGGGTTGGGTTAGAGAAGGGGGGGTGCCTTGGGGAAGGAAGGGGAAGAGCAGCCAGAGTGCTTCCTGAGACCTGGGATCCCCAGGTTCTGGCCCCAGCTATCTCTGTCCTCTCCTCCTGGTCAGACCTCCCCCATGAGCACCCTGCCCCAGCACCCACCAGCACAGTTGGAGCTACATTAATGAGGCTTGGAGGGTTTGGGAGCTGTTGTTTTTTTTCATCTCACTTGTGTGGCCCTGACTGACTTTTCTGTGGGTCAGTGAACCCTGTCTCAAAACAGGTTTCCTGCCCCTCTCATAAATAAAGACAATGCTGAAACATTTTGTGTTTGACATAATATTTTATTTAAAAATGAAGCCTGGCCAACAAGCCCCCATCTGGCCGCAGCATCATAACACTCCTGCACCCCCCCAGACTCCAAACCTGAGCCTATCATACACTGGAACTCCCTGTCCTGAGTATCTCACATCCCCACACTCCTGCACCCTCACATCCCGTCTTCTGCCACAACACTCCTGCACCAGCCACACACTGCAAATCTGTATCCTGAGCCCATCATACTCCCAGACCTGCCCTGAGCCCCTCATGCATCCCAGCCCAAATTCTATGGCTTGCTCAGCACCCAAACCTCCACCTGACCCCAACACTCTCCAGCCTGGAACCCCCTCTCTGAGCCAGCATCCTCTTCTCTGCTTCTTCCTGCACCCAAATTCCTTCCCAGAGCTTACACCTCCCACCCCTTCCTAGTGTGTGTGGGTGTGGGGTGTTTTTTTTTTTGTGTGAACCACAGTAACAGTGGAGATAGCGTGAAGAGGCAGGGAATAATTGTTGAGTCAAAAAAAGGGAGGGGCAGGACCGGGAAGACCCGGGAAAAAGTTGTTGTCCCCCCCCCCAAAAAAAAAGCCGTGCCCTGGGACAGATGTACCAGCACCTATTTTCTCCCAGCATGGTGCTTTTTTTTTTCTCTCAATAACTTTGCCCCGGATCTTCACGCTGTCTTCACTGCTATTGTGGCTCTTCATCTGGAACAGGTTGGCCACCTTTGCCCTAAGGCCTTTCCCAGATGTCCCAGTAATATGGAAGGTTTCTGCATTTCCAGACAAAGAGAAGTTGCGCCTCGTGGGAGGAGAGGACAGATGCTCGGGCCGAGTGGAGGTTTGGTACCGTGGCTCCTGGGGCACAGTCTGTGATGACTCCTGGGACGTGGCAGATGCTAACGTGGCATGTAAACAGCTGGGCTGTGGAGCGGCTGTGTCTGCCCTGGGTGAGGCTGCATTCGGCGAGGGGACTGGACCCATCTGGGTGGAGACGCTGAATTGTAGAGGGAGAGAATCATCTCTCTGGGACTGTCCTGCCAAGCCCTGGGGTGATAGCAACTGTGGTCATAAGGAAGATGCTGCCGTGAATTGCTCAGGTGAGTGACAGGAGATGTTTCCTGCTGTTTCATTATATAATTTTAAGTGGAAACAGATGTCAGAGCAGCTGGGTCCTTCTGCTTGCCCACAGACCAGGCCTCCTATTTCTTTCATGGGATGGAATGTGGTGGAACCATTTTTCATTCAGATGTGCTATGGAATCAGATCATGTTGCTTCCTTTATCTAGCACAGGCAAAGCCACTATCTCCATGTTGCTCTGAGGAAGAGATCATGGATGAAACATAGGTGATGTGCAGAGGCACATGGGGACTCAGGAACAATCACATAACAGCATGTCACCTCCTCCACACTCCATTCCAGTTCTCCTTCCTTTTCCCTTTGCAGGTGCAACAGAGACAACACCTTCTTCAGCTACAACAGGTAACACATTTTTTGCCAATCAAGTGTTAAATTGCCCTGAACCCAGGCTTACAGAGGGATGAGCTGGGACCTCCAAGCTTAGTGCATGAGCAAATTTACACAGAGTGTGAAGTAATATACAAATGAGGCTAAGCGTGGAATATTGCCGAGCCTCATTTGCATACCTAATGAGCCACCATTTTTTTCAGAAGAGGCTTTTGCGCAAAAAGGAGCATCTACACTGCCCTTCTTGCGCAAGAAAAACCCTCTTGCGCAATGCCGTTCTTCCTGAAAAGTAATCGGTATAATGGCATTGTACAAAAGGGGTTTTCTTGTGCAAGAAGGGGCAATGTAGACAGCTCCTTCTGGCACAAGAGCCTCTTCTGCAAAAATGGCGGCTCATTAGGTATGCAAATGAGGCTCAGTGATATTCCACGCTTAGCCTCATTTGCATATTTCTGGCGCAAGAAGCCGCGAGTGTAGACATAGCTCAAGCGGGGGGGGAGTGATGTGGGTGGGAGCTCCATGTGGTGCTGAGCAGCTCCATTGCTGTCTATTGGTTCTAGCCGAGAAGCCCTGCAGAGAGCATGATTTAAACAGCAGCCTATGAGCTGGCCCATGTCCCAGCCAGTTACCCTGCTTCCTAGGTGGCTCAATAGGACTCTGACTTTCACAGAACAATATTACCCTGTTGCATTTTCCTTTCCATTCAGCTCCCCTGGACCACCCTTTGACCGACAGTGGGAGAATCATGCTGCCTGTGATCATCTGCATAATCCTTGGGACCCTGCTCTGTCTGGTCTTAATCGTGCTGGGTGTGCAAGTACAAAGGGCCAGGGCACAGATCAGAGGTAGGTCTTGATTTGAGTCACTGTGTAAAATGACTCTTCAATAGCAGAGATGCTGCAGCAGTTAGCAGGAGGTTTTTGTCAGTCTCTAAGTCATGTGTTGGTAGGACCTTAGGCTACATCTACATTGTGCTGTCTTGCGCAATAACATCTGCAAATGAGGTGCAGCAATGAATATAGCCATGACTCATTTGCATACTTAATGAGCTGCCATTTTTGTGCAAGGGGCTTTTGCGCATGAAGGAGCAGTCTACACTGCTCCTTCTTGTGCAACAACCCCCTCTTGTGCAACAGCCATTCTGCCTGAAAATAAGTGGCCTTTTGCGCAAAAATGGCAGCTCATTAAGTATTTGAATGTTATTGTGCAAGAGAGCGCAATGTAAACATAACCTTACAGTTTAGTGTATTTCCAGAAAATCCATGTGTAAAAATCAAGTAATAGCTCGGACAGAGGCTTTTATGGAACATATGTCAGTGCTATTGTGCCCAGAGCTGTACACACCAGTTTGGGAGAGGAATTATTTTAGATAATACCAGGGAGTGTAACTATGAGTAATGAAATTAATGTATACTGGGAAATTTTAGGCTAACTGAACAGAGACTTGTGACAGTGAACTAACCGTAGTCTCTGTCACTTGGCACATTCAAATTTAGACAAGGCAGAGCACTAGGAACATGCTGTTGGGCTCAATCCTGCATGGGCCTCAGACATAGGGCTGGATGATCTCAGAGTTTTCCCATCTAGAGTTTTTAAGATCTTTGGCAAATTGTCTTCTTTTCAGGTGCCACAAAATCCTCAGATCCTGTGTATGAGGAAATTGATTATAACCGGATGGGAGAGAAGCAGATGTTGAGTCACTCAGGTATGTATGTCTTACTTCTATTGCACTTTCAATCTTGAGGCTATGATGATGCACAACTAGATTTCTTCAGCCACCAACGTTGTGAGCCCAGGACTGCTATGGGCCCTGGGTCTGTGTAGAGACCAGTCACTGGACTCATGTAGGTGGAAGAGGAAATTACCCACTGGACCAAGAGAAAAAGACCAAAGTCTCTCGCAGAGCTGGAAGTTTTTTGTCACCAAAATTGAATGTTTTTCTCATCAAAAATTGCATTACAGTGTAAACACTCTCACTGTTTTGTTCCCAAAAGGAAGTTTTTGGTGACAAAACATGCCAGTGTAGACAAGGTGTTACAAACTGAAGATGTTTTTGTCAGCCACAGAACACTTAAGTCTAAAACTGTTCAAATGCAGAATACAGACTTAGCATCTGAAATCCACACAACACTGTCTGAATACAAAGTTATGCAATTTCCCGATACAATGTGCATGTGAGAGATTTTCTGTCAAGCTCTCTTACACTATCAGGTTCACTCGGTAGCAGCAATCATTTGCATAGCTTTAAAAAATGTTAATATTAATTTTAGCCACAAACTGCAGTGGACTGTAGTTTCTCTGTGAGCTGCACTTTAACTGTAAAAAAGGCCATAGTTTGGCCATGCCTGAAATATAGTGTGGCAGAGCTCTGGCTGTGCCCGTGGGTCCTGTGCTTCTGGCGGAGAGTGTTCCGCCTCAGAGGCCTGCTGATCACATCACACGGCCTCTTCCTTTTTACTAGAGACAGGATTCACAGCCTGCTGAGCCATACTCATCACAGGTGAGTCCATAATATGGGGGTGAAACCCCTCTGTAGTCCCAGGACAGGCTCTGTAGTGGTGTGAGGAGGGGTGGGGGAACCCAGGCTCAACCACTACTCTGGGTTCAGGCCCAGGGACCCCAACACAGCATCAACAGATGGGGTTTGTTCTACTTCTCATCTGGCAACTACTTCCCTGGGCCATTTCCCCAAATGATCCCTCCCAATACCTTGCCTTGGGTACTTGCCCCTCCAACACACTCCTCCTGCCTTGCAGCTCTCAGCTTTCACTCCAAACACTTCTCACACTCAGCACTTCAGCTCCTTCCTTCCTCCTCACATGCCACCTACCTAACAGCAGAGGAGCCCTTGTAAGCCAGTCTCAATTTGTTCTTGATTGACCCCAGGTTATCTAATTAGCCTGACTCCCTTTGCTCTGGAAGGCTCCTAATTAACTCTAGGGCTACGTCTACACTGGCGGTTTCTCGAGCAAGAACAGCTGTTCTTGCGCAAAATCTTGCCGGCTGTCTACACTGCACGAGCATTCTTCCAGAAGTAAATTTACAGTGCAGTGTTGTAAAACAGGCTTCTTCCAGAAGAGTTATTTCTCTCCCCACTCTAAGCCCTCTTGCGCAAGAGCTCTTCCAGAAGAGGGCAGTGTAGACAGGCAACATGAATTTCTTGCACAAGAAGCTCCTATGGTTAAAATGGCCATCAGAGCTTTCTCGTGCAAGAGAGCATCTACACTGTCATGGATGCTCTTTTTGCACAAGAACTCTTCCACAACTGAGTTCTTTCGCAAGAAGCTGCCAGTGTAGATGTAGCCCAGGTTTTTTAACTGCACTGATTGTCCAGACTGCTTCTGGAAAGTTCCTGCTGGTTCTAGGCCAGCCCCTGCCATTTTACTCAGGGAACAGAGACCTACTTAGTCTAAGGCTCACATACTTTCCTTCTAGTGCTCTTTTATAACCCTCTGACCTGACCCTGTCACAATACAGATACTGTAAATCCTGCTCTAGCACCCCAGGGCATCAGCAAGAAGTCAGTTTAGCTGCTCCCACTGTAATAACATTTCATTTGTTGTCTCTGCAGTCTCCTATACAAAAGGTTCAGTGACAAAGCTGCAATATTATACTGGGGACAGTGAGGGGGAAAATGATTCCGGATCAGAACAAGGTAATGGGGGAAGGAGGCATACAAAGACAAAGAACTAAAGCTGGGTGGAGAATTTAATTTCTAGGCATGTTCTGCATGTTCATGGGCTAGCTCTGATTGTATCCATTCTGATAGGATTAGATTTAGCCAGATTTTCTAAGATTTCTGGTGAACCCTGTGGTGGAATCATGTGATCAGTTCCTGGCCCTTCCAGTGTGAGGTTCATGGGGTCCTCCCCCCAAGGAAGAAGCTGTAAATAGTGGGCCCCAGGAAAATTTGCTTGACATGGAAGAATCTCAGTTTCATATCTAGCACCTTTCATTAAACAAACCCCCAGTCTGTGCCCATGATCTTACTCAGCTGCAGGGCTGGCCCACAACATTTTGGCACCTGAGGCAGGGAGCTCAAATGATGCCCCCATACTCCCTCACTTGGGCCAAAACTTTGAAAGGTCTCAATTCTGCCTTCTTCCTGTCCTACTCCTCACATGGTACTGCTCTGCTACCTACATATGTACCAGAACAGACACAATTTTCTACACTCTGAGTCCTAGTGGCACCCCCCCCACACACACTCTGGCACCTGAGGTGGCCACCTCAGTTCGCCTCATGGTAAGGCCAGCCCTGCCCAGCTGCTTCCTTGGCATGAACACAAGCCAAAATCACAATCTAGCCCATGTTAGCAAAGAGATTTTAAACCAAGTTTATAGAGTTCAGCTGGATTCACAAAGGTCAGTTGTGGTGCGGTGGCAGCTGTCTTCCAGCATGTGCAGCATTAGCTCAGCACCAATACAGACGCTGATCCCAATGACAACATGGCTATTGGATTCAGCAATGCAAGGCTGAGCCCCTAGCTATTTATGTGAAAGTGAAGGTGGCACAACCCTTATGTCACAGCGTATCCATGACTTTCCCTTTCCTCCTCAATTACCCTGTGACTTCTACACGCACCTAGATAAACAGCCCAAGCTCCAGTGTAATGAGCATTTCACAGGGAGCATTTCACAGGGAACCTGCTGGGGAACAGGGTGTGTCAAGGGGAAGCTGACTGTGGTGTTTGCTGTTGCCTAGGTGGTTCTCAATTGGATTATGATATTGTGGAGGAGCCTGCATTGAGTGATGCCCACCAGACTCCAGATGACCAAGGTGAGGAGGGAATCTGCCTCCTGGGAGCAGCATTATCCCAGGAGTAAAACTATTATTGTCTTTGTAGAGACAAAAATTGTGCCTGATGGGTTTGCTCTTGCAAGGTACTGAGCATCTTCAGTCCCCCTGCAATCAGTGGGAGCTCAGGGTGCTCAGCATGTCACAGGAGCAAGCCTTCTGCAAACATCTGTTTGACAAACTCTTCTCTCATTGAGCATGGCTGTGGGCACTGGATAGCTCAGGGATGCACTCAGGGGACCAAAAAGCAGCAAAGCTTGTGGTGCTGCAGATCGGAATAGAATTGCATGAGCTAAGCAGTGTGCCTCTAGAAGTAGCTTGTTCAGCCCATGCCCATGCTGCCCAACTTCAACCGCTGCTCCTGGCCCTCACTTGCATGTGCTCTAATGTTATTCACAATGTTAGGGGACAATCTGTCTGAGCACAACCCTCTGCTATGCAATAACAGTCCCTGTCAATCATCCCTACCTGAGCGGAGTCCACTGATCTAGATGAATGTCCCCCCACACTGTGACAGGTGAAGGGATGTTCAGATTTCACAAACAGACCTATTTCTTGCCTTAACTTCATGGTGCAGTTCCCAGGGACTGCAGATCAAGGTGCAGGCCAGACTAGCTCAGAGAAATGGAACAAATCAAGATTTTAAGAATAGTAGAAAATTTGGGAAGTGGTGATGGAACAAATTAAAGTGCCATTTATCTATTACTAATTAATATATTAGTATAACAACAAAATACAGTGGGGCAATCTTCCTCTGACATAGATCCTATCCCTAGCTGCCTCCTTCCAGATCCCTGAGATCCCTATGAGTTTCTGTCTTAGGCTCCTTCCAGTGAATAACAGACACATCAAGTGCTTAATGTGTGAGCTGTATACAATTCCTCTGACACTGAAGTGGAACGAGAAGGGGTGACTTTTGACCTCTTAACACCCTGGAAGTGTCAGTACTTCAGGATCCTTCCTACCTGGTGTATAATTTATTTCTCTAGTCAGTGGAAGATCTCTTTTCATTACCATTAATTCTTGTCTCTTTTTCAGAGGTACCTGCCCCACCTGGAAGTATCCCAGCAGATGGTTATGATGATGTCAGAGATGTTTCTGACCCTGAAAATAACTGGGGTGCAGAGCAGAATATCCAGGAAGTTACTGGGATCCTTAGGGAGAGTGACAGGAAAAAGGGTTCACAGAAAGGTGAGTGGGGAAAAGATCTATTACAATTCTTGAAGATTGATTTCCTAGTATCATTATCACTTGGGCTACACCTGGACCCCTAAACGCCGTTCATCTGAAAAAGTGGGTAGTAGGATATGGACTTGTAAAACGCCATTCATCTGAAGAAGTGGGTAGTTCTCTCAAAAGCTCATGATACCATCTATACGTTTTGTTAGTCTATAATGTGCTACCAGACTATTTGCTGTTTTTTAAGTTACTATAGAATTAGG